GCCTAGTAATCTTGTTGGGTGATACTGGCTAGCCAGTCTCTCTTTCAGGACTAAGCAGGACCAGGCCCATAGCCAGGATTTCAATTCGGGGGGGGGTGGGGGGGGGGCTGAGTCTGCGTGAAAGAGGGTCTACCCTAGCAAACCTTTTGTATTGTTACCCCAATACCCCCATGCATATGGGAAATATTGAGTATGGTGATCAGATCATGATATGAATAAACATAACAGTTTAAATAATGCACCAGTAAGGCCTTTTCGCGAACCACCATGAGAATTTCAGGGGGGGGGGCTGAAGCCCCCCCTCCCCCAGCTACATGCCTGCCAGCAGGACTGACCCTACTCAGCTTTCAAGATCAGACAATATCTTTTAGGATATCAGAGTATAACTATGAGGAAAAGGGGGAAAGCAAGGCAGGGGCTCTCACATATTTATACATGGCTATCATAACTCCTCTCAGCCTTCTCTTCTTCAGGCTAAACATGCCCAGCTCTTTAAGCCGCTCCTCATAGGGCTTGCTCTCCAGACTTGATCATTTGAGTTGCCCTCCTCTGGACACATTCCACCTTGTCAACTTCTCTCTTCAATTGTGGTGCCCAGAATTGGACACAATATTCCAGGTGTGGTCTAACCAAGGCGGAATAGAGGGGTAGTATTACTTCCCTAGATCTAGATACTATGCTCCTATTGATGCAGGCCAAAATCCCATTGTTTTTTTTTTTTGCCGCTTTTTGCCGCTTTTTGAAAAACTTGGAATGAAGACCAAATGACTGTCCACAGACTCTGATGGCAGATCCCACACCTGCCCTTCTGGCACCCTGGTTTAGGCAACTCATTTTCTGTAACACAACAGTAATCTGGATAATATTGATTAATCCCTCAGGATGGAACGGTGGGGGTCGTGTGTGAAGCTTCCCACCTCATCACATGAAGTGGACGGCATGCCTTATAATTCTGTCCAGCAACATCTGTTGCTCTATTTAGCAAAATTCCCTTGCAAGCAAATTGTATGGACGACCTGACAGTTTGAATAATATTAGCAACACCTTCCCTCTTACAGTACTCACCAGCTCTCTTCTTGCTGCTAGGCATGAGTGTGTAATAACGAAACACCTGTAATAATTAACACCTCGTCGTTTATCTAATTAGATAGTTAGCCTGAAAGGTTGGGAAATCCCTTGTAGAGCATGTCTTGAAACCCAACGGACTTTACAGGAGTGAAGGGGACACTTGTGATAAAAAGACTGGAGATCGCATCCCAATTTTGTTATCACCACACAACCCAATGGGCATATAATGTTAATCAATCATCCCTGCAACCTACACACACAACCTTCATGACCACATCTTCACCAAGGCTCAATATATTTTCACGACAGCTGTTCAACAGCTATGCATTCTACATTGGGCTACTTCTGAGGAAACTTTGGGAATTTTAATTGGTCACAAATGCAGCAGCGAGAATGCTAGGATGGTTATCAATTTGTTTCTAGGAATAGTGTGAAATAATAAACTTTAGTAAATAAGCTGTCGGAATTTAAAAACTGTCTAAAGACCTATCTCTTCTGGCAGGCCTACCCAGCCAGTTTTGAGCATGAATTTTAAACTCGTGTCCTTATTTAATCTCTGTTTTGTGTATTTTTAATATGTATTTTATAGAAATACATTTTAATATGTGTATTTGTGGTATTTTTACAATGTTTATGAGTTTTAATTATCAAACCATGAGGAGAGGCAGGTAAGAAATAGAATAATTTAATTAATTAATTAATTAATTAATTAATCGAACTTATATGCCGCCACTCCCCTGAGGCTCGGAGCAGCTTACAAGAATGACAAAAATCTAACACAATTTAAAAACAATTTTAAACAATTTTAAAAAAGCAATATCAACAATCAAAGGCCTGTCGAAACAGGTATGTCTTACATGCCCTGAGGAAAGCTGATAAGTCCCGCAAGGCACGGACTTCAGGTGGCAGAGTATTCCAGAGTGATGGTGCCATTGTTGTAAAGGCTCTGCGCCTGGTTGCTGTTAGAGGCAAGGTCTTGACACTGGGAATTTCCAATAGATCTTGGTCCTCAGAACGGAGGGATCTCTGGGGTTGGTAGGGGGTGAGGCGGTCCCTCAGGTACATCGGCCCCAGACCATGCAAGGCCTTAAAGGTGAGTACCATCACTTTGAAAGTGATCCGGTGCTCAATTGGTAACCAATGCAGCTGTAGTAAGATTGGTGTTATGTGGCATCTCATTGGAGCTCTCGCAAGAAGCCGAGCAGCTGCATTTTGTACCAACTTGAGCTTTCGGATCACCAACAGAGGAAGGCCACTGTAGAGGGCGTTACAGTAGTCCAGTCTTGAGATGACCGTAGCCTGGATCACCGTAGCTAGGTCGTCCCTGGACAGGAAGGGGGCCAGCTGTCTAGCCTGCCGCAGATGAAAAAAAATATTATTATTATTATTATTATTATTAATAATAATAATAATAATAACAACAACAACAATGTGTGATCCAATTCAACAGCCAGCAGAGTGTCTGCTATGGACTCATCTTGTTATGTTTCAAATAATAATAATATGGCTTTGGCATAAACCAGTACAGAGTCCCAGTGGTCATCGGCACACTGGGTGCCATGCCAAAAGATTTCAGTCGGCATTTGGAAACAATAAACATTGACAAAATCGCGATCTGTCAACTGCAAAAGGCCACCTAACTTGGATCTGCGTGCATAATTCGAAAATACATCACACAGTCCTAGACCCTTGGGAAGTGTTCGACTTGTGATTTTGTGATACAAAATCCAGCATATAGATCTTGTTTGCTGTGACGTACTGTGTTTTTGTGTAAAATAACAATAATAATAATAATAATGATAATAATAATAATAATAAATGTTGTTGTTTTGTGGAAGGCTTTCATTGCCAGAATCACTAGGTTGTTGTATGTTTTCTGGGCTGTATGGCCATGTTCCAGAAGCATTCTCTCCTGATGTTTCACCTGCATGTATGGCAGGCATCATCCTCACAACCTCTGAGGATATCTGCCATAGATGCAGGTGAAATGTCAGGAGGAAATGCTTCTGGAACATGGCCATATAGCCTGGAAAATACACAACAACCAATTATTATTATTATTATTATTATTATTATTATTATTATTATGTATCTATTTTATTTATTAGTTACCTAGAGGTAACTACTCCAAAGTCTATAAAGGTGATATACATGGCTCTTCTTCTACTCACTTTGTCCTCAAAACAACACTATGAGGAAACAGAGAGAAGGAGCAAGACAAATATGAGCGCATTGTCATCCACTGAGTACTTGGCTCCGTGGGGACTGAAACCTAGATATCTGAAATCCCAATTCAAAAACAACCAGGCCATACTGATATAGGCCCTGATTTGGGACTGAATTAATGTATCAGTCTGTCTACATGTTGTTGAGATAATAAAATCCATTCTGCCTCTAAGAGCCAGTGTAGCATACTAGTTTGAGCACTGGCCTACAACTCTAGGGACTAAGGAAATCCAGTGGGCGACAGTGGGGAAATCACTCTGTCAGCCTCAGAGGAGGCAAGGCCTGCATCAATAGAAGCATAGTGTCTAGATCTAGGGAAGAAATGCTACCCTTCTATTCTGCCTTGGTTAGACCACACCTGGAATATTGTGTCCAATTCTGGACACCACAATTGAAGAGAGATATTGACAAGCTGGAATATGTCCAGAGGAGGGTGACTAAAATGATCAAGGGTCTGGAAAACAAGCCCTATGAAGAGCGGCTTAAAAAGCTGGGCATGTTTAGCCTGAAGAAGAGAAGGCTGGAGGAGACATGATAGCTATGTATAAATATGTGAGAGGAAGTTACAGGGAGGAGGGAGCAAGCTTGTTTTCTGCTTCCCTGGAGACCAGAACATGAAACAATGGCTTCAAACTATAAGAAAGGAGATTCTATCTGAACATGAGGAAGAGCTTCCTGACTGTGAGAGCCGTTCAGCAGTGGAACTCTCTGCCCTGGAGTGTGGTGGAAGCTTTAAAACAGAGGCTGGATGGCCATCTTTCAGCTTTAAATGCAATATTCCTGCTTCTAGGCAGGGGGTTGGACTGGATGGCCCATGATGTCTCTTCCAACTCTATGATTCTATGATTCTAAGGGCAAACCCCTCTGTACAAATCTTTCCAAGACAACCTTGTACTAGGTTCAGAAAGCACTTGAAGGTGCACAATAGCAATATGTCTCCAAAGTGGATTGAAAGGACTTTTGTAGTAATTTCAGCTAAATTATATTTATTTATTTATTTGCTTCATTTGTATACCGCTCTTCTCAGCCCTCAGGCGACTTAGAGCAGTTAACAACCAGTTTCAACAAGACAATACAAAATCAGTAATCAATTAAAACAGTAATATCAATTAATTAACACCAGAGTCAATACAACAGTACAGCAATATAACAATCCATCACGTCTCATCAATAGAATCAGCATCTGATCTTGTTGTCCATTATTCCATTGCAATAATCAGGGGGCCGATCTAATGTCTGTAGGAAGGGCGTTCCACAGCCGAGGGGCCACTACTGAGAAGGCCCTGTCTCTCGTCCCCGCCAGGCATGCTTGTGAAGCCGGCAGGACCGAGAGCAGGGCCTCCCCAGACAATCTTAATATCCTAACTGGTTCATAGGAGGAGATGCGTTCGGACAGATAGGTCGGGCCAGAACCGTTTAGGGCTTTAAAGGCCAAAGCCAGTACTTTGAATTGTGCCCAGTAGCAAATTGGCAGCCAGTGGAGCTGGCGCAACAGAGGAGTGGTATGCTCCCTGAGTGCCGCTCCTGTTAGCAACCTGGCTGCCGATCGTTGGACCATTTGAAGCTTCCGAGCAGTCTTCATTATACATTTTTCAAAACTTATGTTGGCCCTGTCTTTGCAACATTTTGTGAAAGACTGTATTCTATCACGCAGTCCTTAGCACAACTACTTTTAAAACATTCAGCTCTTAAACCTCTTAACTGACCTGTTTTTGGTTCCATTTAAAATCAGGAATGAGGATAAAACCATTGATTGGATCCGGGTTTTCGTAGATTATTCGATCAGCTTCAGCCTTCTTCTCTAAAATGTTGTATACCCACTAGAAGATATAAATGGGGTTTAAAAACAGATATTTTTAAAAACAGATAATATTGCTAAATATTTCTCAGTATTAGCAAAGTTATTTGAAAATAACTCCCAGCATTCCTTTTTTAAAAAATAATTTTTATTGATTATTGGGGGGGGGGAGGAGAAAGGGAAGAAAAAGGAATGAAGAAAAAAGGGGGGAGTAGAAGGCGGTAGGAAAATTAGATTGCTAAAAAGCAAAAAGGGGAAGAAGACTAACTGTGGTAAAAGGGGTACGGAGGATTTCCTTACTAATGCGAGTGGGAGTAAAAGGGCTAAAGGGGAAAGAAAGGCAAAAAATTGAAATAAAAAATAAAAATAAAAAAATATAAAAAAGAGACGGAAAAATGGGGAAAATGGTAGAAAAAGTATTATATACATTTATTTATTTAAAAGTTTTGTATACCGACCTTCTCACCTCTCTTGAGGGACTCAGACCGGTTTCCAACCATAATATCACATACAGTCAATAAAACATAATTCATGTTACAATAAAACATTAAATCAGCAATTGCATACAATAAATACAGTGGTCAGTCGTCACACTAAAATCGGTGTTCATCATCCTCCATCCATATCTCAGAGTGTTGGCTCACTCGTCGAATTCCTGTCTCCATAACCATGTCTTTACCTGCTTCCTGAATGTCAGGATAGAAGGGGCGGTTCTGATCTCCAGTGGGAGAGAGTTCCAGAGTCGAGGGGCCACCACCGAGAAGGCCCTGTCCCTCGTCCCCACCAGACGCACTTGCGAGGCCGGTGGGACCGAGAGCAGGGCCTCTCCAGACGATCTTAATAATCTTGATGGTTCATAGGGGAGAATACGTTCGGAGAGGTAAACAGTGTGTGTGTATATATATACATACATACATACACACACACTCCCAGCATTCCTTACAATGGCTGTGCCAGCGGGGGCTGCTTGAAGGTACAACACAACATCTAACTTTATCTACCCCTTCCCTCATCCATGTTTTTATTATTCTACTTTCTGCTCACTAAAACATAATTTCAGGTCCTGGCATTAAATGGAAAAAAGTCTTATTTTTATCCACAGAAGAACCAAATACATTCAGAGCTAATAAAAATTACAGTTAAATATCTATTAGGCAATCAAATGCCTTGCATTTGGGATCTCGAAAATCACTAAGGGACAAGAAAGAATTAAACCATTCATGTACCACCGTTGCTATTCTGGCCGTAGAAATTAGGACATGTTTTGCTTTGATTTTTGTCTAATAATGTGTGTGTTTGCCTTTTAGGATGAATATGCTGCTTTTGGAAGAAATATCCTTGATTTAACAGATACTTAAATAGTTTGTTTCGAAAGAACAATTGCAACACTTCTGGTAAGCAACCACAGAACAATTGCATAAGAGAAGCTGGAAAGGAAAGGCCTTGGAACTTGAATTTGCAGAAGGCGAATGCCTTGAACACAACAGTGGGGGAAGAGAGAAGAAGAAGAGATCATTTGTAAAATAGGAAGATAAATGTCTTTTTCAGAGGAATAGCTCGTTGAACAAGAGTAACCCCACACAGTTTTGGCATGGCAAGCAAATATTCCATAACTTTAAACTTTGAGGGAGCAATTCCATGTTAATCCAAATTGAAGTACTCTCTACTAGTGTTGTGACTTTTTATCAAATTGCTATTTTTTTTGTTTGTTTCATTCGTAGTGCCCCCCCCCCCTCATTTTTGTGCGCCTTCCGCAAATGGGCGCCTTTTCGAAGGAGCTTTTTTGTTCTGTGTCTGAAAGAATGAACATTTTCAAAACACTGGCCAACATGGGCAGGCTTCCCAGGTTCCCCTTCCCCTTCGTTTTATGGCTAGAGGAGTGAAAATCACCACACATGGAGGGCACATCTCCCACTCTTAGCCCACCAAGTTTTATAACGTTTGGGTCATCCCCCAGTATTTAGGGATTTTTTCTTTCTATCAATAAAATCTTTTTAAAAACATCCCCCCTTTCCCCCACTGGCCTCACCCTTTAACTTCTCCAGGAGAAGCAGCAAGAGGGAGGCAGGGAAGGGCACCATTCCTTCCTTCCAAATGTCAAAGATGCTCCACACACCACACACACAACCCTGTGCCCACTCCAGCCCCTCCATCTACAGATGAGAACTGAGTTTAAAGACAGAGCTTAAGATAGCACTAATTCTGAGATTTTCCCCCTCCTTCTGCAGAAGATAACTGAGTTTAAATACAGAGCTTAAGATTCCAGTATTTCTGTGATGCTTTCCCCTTTGTCTGCAGAGCGGCGGTGGGTGAGGTGAGGCAGGCAGTCGGCAGGCGAGGTGGACGGCATTCTTATTCTCCTATTGGCCCAACAAACAGGGCCATGCTCAGTAGGCTGTGTGAGGAGTGCCATATGGCCCAAAAATAAGGCAAATAGATGATAACTATTGATGCTATGTTGGTGGGGACGAGAGAGGGCATTCTCGGTGGTGGCCCCCTGTCTCGGGAACTCCCTCCCCAGGGAGATTAGGCTGGCACCCTTCCTAGCCACATTCTGCAAGGAATTAAAGACGTGGATGTTTCATCGGGCTTTCGACGGACGACTCCTATGACAAATGGCCTGTATCATGACTTGAATTGTCATTCAATCTGATGTCCTATATTATATTAACTATATTATCTTGTTAATTTGCTCTGTTTCCATGATATTTCCTATGCCATTATACATTATCATCTACCTTACTACACCACTTTATCCTTTAACTAGTTCACTAAGTGGTTTTCCTCCCCCCTCCAAAATTAGTCTGCTGTTAGGGTTGTTGCTAGCTATTTTTGTTATGTTGTTTTACGCTGTTTTTATGCCGTTTTAATTGTTATTGCTTTATTTTAATTGTATTATGCCTTGGGGTTGGGCCCCATGTAAGCTGCCCTGAGTCCCTTCGGGGAGATGTAGGCAGGGTAGAAAAATAAAGTTCTTCTTCTTCTTCCATAGGGGGCTACCATTTTGTGCCCCCGGATGAAACAAAAGAAATGAAACCACGAATGAAACAAAAGAAACAAATACCACACACAGGACTACTGTCCACTCATGCAATAGGACCTGTCAGTCAAAGTAATATAAGCTCCATTGATTGCAATGGTCAACAGCAGCTGGGACAATCTTTTGATTTGGTCCCTAGGGCTCTGAATTGTGGCTGTGTGAGGAACAGCAACAATATCCTGGACCTCTGGCAAGGTGTTGGGAAGAAATTATACTTCATTAGTAATTAAAAATGTAGTTTGTGCATGTGCAAAGTGCAACGCCTCCATAAGGGAAGATTTATCTGGTTGAATGTGGGAAAAGGTCTACAATCTCCTCTGCATGAAACAACCAACAATTGCAGATTCTCTCTAAAAAGGACTTAAGAAGTTAAGTGTAAAGCCAGGGTTACAATGTTGTGGAAGAGAGAGATAGGAGGAAGATAGGATTTGCTGAAGATAGGATTTACTGAAGAAGCAGAAAATAGCAGCTTGGAGTCTCTCTTATCTGTGTTTACAAATGTGTACGGCGCAGGTCAAATAGTCTTCCTCCTCCTCACCCCAAAATGGGACTTTCTCTATCAAAACACTTTGCAGAAATATTAACGAATTAATTAATCATAACATCAAAGTGGTATCGTGTTTCTGAAACAATTATGCTCCACTTTGTGCAATCTGCAAGCACGTCTCCCATGAGAGCCATCTTTATTCCTTTAAGATGCAAATGCTTGTGTGCTTTTCAATTGAAATGCAGGGAAAGAACACAGGTACTTAGGAGGATGAGGGGCCTCCCAAAAGTCTCACACAACCAAAAGAAAATACACTTATAATGAAAGGGACAGAAACAGTAGCTCAATGATAGAGCGCATGCATTCTCTTGGAAGGGGGGAAGAAACAATCTGTGACATGTAGAGCCAAAATGGGGCTTCCCACACTTGGGGAAAAAGGGAGAGGACAGAAGCCACCAGGAACAAAAAAAAATTCATATTTTAAATAGGTTGTAGGAACTGTTTAAAACAACAGCAACACTCTTTCAAAACAGGAAATAGTCTTCCAGCCACGTCCATGGGAAGGGTTTGTTTGGTGGTCCATACAGCCTTAAACACAATACAGTTGCTCCACTTTTTAAACAAACGTTTGACAAACTTGACCCCAAATTTGCTGCCTTGAATTCCCATTTTGAGAAAAATATATTTATACTACCAGTCCCCTGCCACGTGTTGCCGTGGCCCAGTCTGGTGATCTTGAAAATAAAGTAATGAGAAAGTGTTGGTTTCTAATATATGTAATTTCTTTATGCTTGTGAGTAAACAGTATTTCTTGTTGTTTCTTTGCCAGTGTTGATGTAGAGATTGTCTGTTCTGCCTACTCTGGAATAAGCAACATATAATTGTCATTTTTAGGGGCCCCTTTCAAATCTTTGATACTGCATCTGTCATATACATATGTGTGTGTGTGACTGGATGGCCCTTTGTCAGGAGGGCTTTGATTATGTTTTCTTGCCCTGGTGAAGGGAGTTGGACTGGATGGCCTTAAGGCAGTATTTCTCAACCTGGGAAGTCAAGACCCCGGGGTGGGGGTCACCGAGGAGGGGGGTTCAGAAGGGTCACCAAAGACCACCAGAAAACACAGTATGTTCTGTTGGTCATGGGGGTTCTGTGTGAGATTTTTGCAGAAATGATGCAGTGTACAATGCTCTTATTCAATATCAGAAGTAAATTTAGTATACTGAAAGCTATCAGATGCATGCTGAAATTGCATAAAAAAGGCAAAACTAATTGTTAAATATTAATATTGATTTGTCTTTAAAAAACTAAATTGCAAAAGCATGAATGAAAAGAGCAAGTCAGTAGGGAAAAAAGAAAAGAAAGGCCTATCTATGTCTTGGAAGGACTTTTGATTATAGACACAAGGGATTCATTTCAAACCCATCCAAAAAATGTTAGGCCTTGAGATGCTTGAACAAAAGATCCCACTTTAAACTTTCTTTCCCTTGATTTCTCACACAGTGGATAATCACTTCTGGAACAGAGGAACATTTCAGAATCAGTTTGAGTTAGATTACTGGGAGTCAGAAGATGGAATTTGGCATTCAAAGGCGAGGATTCAAAAATTATGTTGAGTATGCTCCAAGTTGCCAACTCAAAGATAAAGATACAAGGTCTCACACTCCTGCAACCTCCCTTTGATTCATGCACAGATTGCTTTGGATCATAGTTGTAACAAAAAATGCATACCTGGATACTGAAACTCTGTGCTTCGATAAAAGGCAGAGTAATGTTTGTGTAATCCTCCCCAGACTCCTGGATAAGATACACTTCCTGATGCAAGTATTTCTGGATGTGTTTCTCTGATGCTGGGTACACCACCGTTGTTTTTATCTCTGGAATGGTAAACACATACAAAGCATTATCATCTAAGAAACTTGTGTGCCAGCTGCGCCTGTACCTTGGGAAATCTGACTTGGCTACGGTGGTCCATGCTCTGGTTATATCCCGTATAGACTACTGCAATGCGCTCTATGTGGGGTTGCCTGTGAAGACTGTCAAATGGTCCAACGGACGGCAGCCAGGTTACTAACAGGAGCGGTGCTCAGGGAGCATGCAACTCCTTTGTTGCGCCAGCTCCACTGGCTGCCAGTTTGTTAACAGGCACAATTCAAAGTGCTGGCTTTAGCCTATAACGCCCTAAACGGTTCTGGCCCAACTTACCTGTCCGAACGCATATTCCCCTATGAACCAGCTAGGACGTTAAGATCGTCTGAGGAGGCCTTGCTCTCGATCCCGCCTGCATCACAAATACGTTTGTCAGGGATGAGAGACAGGGCCTTCTCAGTGGTGGCCCCTTGGATATGAAATGCCCTTCCTAGGGACATTAGATCGGCCCCCTCTGTTTTAACATTCCGGAAAAAAGTCAAGACCTGGCTGTTTGAGCAAGCGTTTGGAAAGGCAGTGTAACAAACATAGGAATATGGAACAATTGGATGATGAGATCGGACTTCGTTTTTCACTAGGAGACATAAATGATTTATGTTTTACTGATTTTGTTATGGTTTTATATTATACTAGCCGTCCCTTGCCACACGTTTCTGTGGCCCAGACTGTGTATATGTGTTTTGTGTGTATATATATGTGTATACATGTGTGTATATTTTTGTATATGTGTGTTCATGTGTATATATGTGGTTTTACGCGTGCACTGTAACATATTTTTTGTTTTTTGACTTTTTAAGTCCCTTTCGCTGTGTTTTTCAGTGTTTTTATGAGTGATGGTCACTTGTTGGCCTGATAGGTGTATTGTGTTCAAATTTGGTGTCAATTCATCCAGTGGTTTTCATGTTATGTTAATCCCACAAACAAACATTACATTTTTATTTATATAGATGTTAATGTTTTAAATGTCTTAAATATTTTATGTTGTTGTTGGGCATCGAATTGTTGCCTCTGAAAACCACCTGGAGTTGCCCATGGGCTGAGAAAGTCGGTATACAAATATAGTAAATAAACAAACAAACAAACAAACATCCTTCTGGATCCTTGATCATTTCCAGGAACTGCCTCACTGGAGTGGGGTCAACTGGCACACAAAGCTGACAATGACATGGTCACCTATATCCATTACTGAGAAGAATTCAAGTTAACAATAAGTAATATCATGGGTTGGGAACTGTAGTACTCCAGATGTTTTTGAACTGTAGTTAAGAGTTAGACGAGACCATAAGGACAATAAACTCCTGCCATACAGTAATACACATCAAAGTACATTCGACAGATAGCCATCCAGCCTGTTTAAAAACTTCCAAAGGAGTTGACCCCCCACATGCCAAGGCAACGTAATCCAGTGTTGAACTGTTCTACTGTCAGGAAATTCTTCCCCGTGTTCAGATGGAATTTCTTTTTCCTATAGTTTGGATTCATCGCTTCATGGAAAACATGCTGGCTCTATTTTCAATATGACATCCTTCAGATACTTACTCATGGCTCTCATTTCCCCTCTTAATGTTTTCTTCTCTAGGCTAAAGACACACTAAGGGATTCATGCTTTCCAGACCTTTGGCCATTTTGGTAGCCCTCCACTGGCTCCAACAAAATGTGTCTTTTTAAAATTTTCCCATCACATTGTTCAAAATTAATATACATGGTTTCAAGTAATACCCCTATCTAAGGTTAGTTTCTTTCTCAGCCTTGTTGCTACTGATGTTTAGTAACATTAGCCATGTTGAGTATCTAATGCAGTGTTTCTCAGCCTGGGGGTCGGAATCCCTGGAGGGGTTGCAAGGCGGTGTCAGAGGGGTCGCCAAAGACCACCAGAAAACAGTATTTTCTGTTGGTCATGGGGGTTCTGTGTGGGGAGTTTGGCCCAATTCAATCATTGGTAGGGTTCAGAATGCTCTTTGATGGTAGGTGAACTATAAATCCCAGCAACTACCACTCCCAAATGTCAAGGTCTGTTTTCTCCAAACTCCACCAGTGTTCTCAATTGGGAATATTGGGAATTCGTGCCAAGTTTGGTCCAGATCTATTATTGTTTGAGTCCACAGTGCTCTCTGGATGTAGGTGAACTACAACTCCAAAACTCAAGGTCCACCAAACCCTTCCAGTATTTTCTGTTGGTCATGGCGGTTCTGTGTGGGAAGTTTGGCCCAGTTCAATCATTGGTAGGGTTCAGAATGCTCTTTGATTATAGGTGAACTATAAATCCCAGCAACTACAACTTCCACGGGATAAAATCAATCCCCCGCACCAACCCCACCAGTATTCAAATTTGGACGTATTGGGTATTTGTGTAAATTTGGTCCAATGAATGAACGTACATCCTGCATACCAGATATTTACATTACAATTCACAACAGCAGCAAAATGACAGTTGTGAAGTAGCAACAGAAATAATTTTATGATTGGGAGGTCACCATAACACGAGGAAGTCTATTAAGGGGTCGTGACATTAGGAAGGTTGAGAACCACTGATCTAATGTATAGAAAGTCAAGGTAGAAATGCTAATGCTAGTGATGTTGGGCACAATGTTAACCATCATCACCATCATTACTATTTATAACTATGAACGTAGGAACTTTAGAGCAAAAAGTGTGGGAACAATGATTTGGATTTTCAAGACGAAATTGTTGAGGGTGCCTGATCAATGTTCCCTACAAAGGCAACATGATTGACGGAATATGATGTCCAAGTCAGCCCCTCCTCACAAAAGACTTCTCTCACCCTAGATGCTTAGGAATTCAGGACATTTTGTTCCCAATACATAATGGGTGGGAAGGGAAAACTTAGTGCAAAAAAAATTGCTTGACACATTCTTTTTTTGTGGCAGCACACAACAAAATCTGGATTTACAGGCCCACTTCCAAGGGAGAGGTTCTCAAATGTAAAGTGGACACAACTTAATGCAAGCAACACAGTCCATGGAGGAAACACTTGAACCAAATAAGACCCAAACAAGATGCCTAAAAACACGAGAGTGTTTGGAAGTGGACACATTTAACAGGTGGCTTGCTTGAACCAAGAAAAACTTTCATGTTTTTGGTTCTGTTCAGGACATGATTCATGTCAGCAGGTTTTCTTGTAGAAAATCCAGGCCTTGTACTCTATATTCTAGAAGCAAAATCTCTGCCTAGTACAGCGTTTCTCAACCTGGGGGTTGGGACCCCTGTGGGGGTCATGAGGGGGATGTCAGAGGGGTCACCAAAGATCATACAAAACACAGTATTTTCTGTTGGTCATGTGTGTTCTGTGTGGGAAGTTTGGCCCAATTCTATCGCTGGTGGGGTTCAGAATGCTCTTTGATTGTAGGTGAACTATATATCCCGGAAACTACAATTCCCAAACTACAAAGTATGTTTTCCCCAAACTCCACCAGTGTTCATATTTGGGCATATTGAGTATTCGTGCCAAGTTTGGTCCAAATCTGTCATTGTTTGAGTCCACAATGCTCTCTAGATGTAGATGAACTACAACTCAAAAACTCAAGGTCAATGTCCACCAAACCCTTCCAGTATTTTCTGTTGGTCATGGGAGTTCTGTGTGCCAAGTTTGGTTCAATGCCATCATTGGTGGATTTCATAATGCCCTTTGATTGTAGATGAACTATAAATCCCAAATACAAAAACTGTAGATTGCAAATCACAATTTCTATGTTCCAAGAATTTCTACATTGAATGTAATTTTGTGTCACTGTGCCTGACATTGTTTAACTGTTATTTTGGAAGCTCTAGTTTCAATGTGTTGACAAAGTATTGATAAACCGTGTCACTGTCTCTGATGTTGTTTATGGAAGATCTTTCGACAATATAGAAAGTGTTATTTTGTGTCACTGTGCCTGACATTGTTTAATTGTTATTTTGGAAGCTCTAGTTTCACTGTGTGGACAAAGTATTGATGAATTATCTTCTATTTATAAACAGTCTTTAATGAATGTTCTCATGTTACATTCAATGTAGAAATTCTTGGAACATAGAAATTGTGATTTGCAATCTACAGTTTTTGTATTTGTTGTTATAGATATCTGTGCATGTTACACAGAACTATAAATCCCAGCAACTACAACTCCCAAATGACAAAATCAATTTCCCCCAACACCACCAGTATTCAAATTTGGGCATATTTGTGCCAAATTTTGTTAAGTGAATGAAATACATCCTGCATATTAGACATTTACATTACAATCTATAACAGTACCAAATTACAGTAATGAAGTAGCAACGGAAACAATGTTATGGTTGGGGATCACCACAACATGAAGAATTGGAAAAAGGGGTCGCGGTATTAGGAAGGTTGAGAACCACTGGCCTAGTAAGAGGGAGTCCATACAATGGCCCATATCTTCCTTTTATTCATAGGTAAATTAGAAATAGTTTTCATATTGTGAAGCCAACATTCAGTAACACAATTCAGACTGACCCCACTTCACGGCCTCCACAGCTGGGCTGTTTATGTCCTCAGGCACATCAGATGAGTGCAACTTTCTGGAAAGATGTAAATTTGGCTGCAACATCCTGGATTTGTGGCATTGTTGCTTAATTGCTGTTGTTTAATAATCTATTAAGATATATGACATCACTCCCAGAATTCTTAGCTGCTTGCACTCAACATGTAAAATGTATCTTGTTTACTAATAGAGTTATTTATTTTCTTCTTTTAACCTCTGATTCAGGATCAAGTATGAAACAACATTAGGACTCATTTGTTTTTAAATGGCATTTAACCAAGAAATATAATGTTGGTCATTGCATTTAATTTTTCTGACAACTTACCAAGAAAAGTGATGCCGAGAAGAGGGAAGAAATTCTAACAAAAAAGACTGTCTTGTTTTAACATTTTGGGGAAGAATGTTCAGCAACTGAGGAAAGTCTGGTTTCCCCCCAAAAGGAAAGC